CTCTCCCCCTCCTTTCCTCTCTCTGAAATTAATAAAGATATGTTTAAAACAACAACAAAAAATTTAAAATCCTGATTGAATTCCTGCCAAACTCCTTGCACTGCTCTCCTCACTCCCTCCACATCTTTGCAGGCCTGACTCCTCCGTGTCATCCAGGTCTCAGATTAGATGTGCAAGTCCCTTCAGGGAGACTCAATCTAAAGTCACCTTTCCCCAACATCCAAGTCACCCGACTATTTTCATCATAATGCTCATCACTATCTGTAATTATATGGATAATTTGTTTACTTGCTTATGTGTTCCCATCCACTAACATAAACTCCTTTGATGGCATAGGACTTATTGTTTTCACTTTTGTGTCCTCAGTGATAACAATACCTGGCACTAACAGATGCTCAAAAAATGGGGCAAATGGAAATGATGCTCAGTCGATCCATCGCTGCCCTGATGCAGGCATAAGATGGAGGGTTGGAATCAGTAACCAGATTTAAATACTGTCTATACCACCTATTAAATGTGTCTCTTAGCAAGTTACATAACCCTCAACTTTTTTTATCTGAAATATGTGGAAAACAAGTGTCTACTGTGTGAGCTGTAGAGCTTCTCTAGGGATTGAGAGAAAAGACCTAAACACTTGGCACCATGATGAGTATACAATAAGAATTACTAAGGCCGGGCCAGGCATGGCTCAGTGGTTGAGCGTCGACCTAGGATCCAGGAGATCGGGGTTCGATTCCTGGTCAGGGCACATGCCCGGGTTGTGGGCTCGATCAATGACTCTCTCATCACTGATGTTTCTCTCTCTCTCTCCTTTCCTCTCTCTGAAATCAATAAAGATATATTAAAAAAAAAAAATTACTAAGTAATAGGTAGCTAGCATATATCCATATAATACACACACACACACGCTTTGGTGTTCACCTTCACTTGGCTTAATGGTCCCACTGCTCTGCCTTTGAGACCTCAACCTGGTGTTCTTACTGATGTCATGTCTCAAAAGCACAATCTGAGTCTCTAACATTCTCTGACCAGTTCCTACCACACCCCAGCCTAGCCTGAGCTTTATAAACCTTCTAGAATTTACCTGAAAATACAANGTTCTTACTGATGTCATGTCTCAAAAGCACAATCTGAGTCTCTAACATTCTCTGACCAGTTCCTACCACACCCCAGCCTAGCCTGAGCTTTATAAACCTAGAATTTACCTGAAAATACAAATTGTCCTCCAGCATAACACAGAGGTTATGAGCAGCCTCCATTCCACCTACTGCCTCAGAGGTCTGCACAGCATCGCCCATGCTGAGAGGCACGGGGCTAACCCCTCTCGTGGCAAAATAGGCCGCCTTTAAAACACATAACGGCAGGAACAATGAAATCTTGATCATTTTTATTATTTTTATTTGGACAACATATATACATATGTACAAAATACCTACTGTCAGAATCCTCTATTATAATTTTGTTTGATTTACAAAAACAGGACAGCAAAATAACTTAGGTCACTAATACTGTACAAAAATAAAACTGATTAAACAGTTGTAAAGATCAGTATCTTACAGTGTTACAGATCACTTGTCTGTGTGAGAGAACATCGCAGTCTATCCAGAGTGATGAGTACTGTGCTAAATCTATCTGCAAACTTACAACTAATCAGTTTCTGTAATTATAACTACTACCAAGTGTAATTCTCAAAAGAAGCATGATGTAGACAGACCTAACGCCAGGGCATCGTTCCACAGTGGTGAAGGGCTTTCTTCTTCCCTAACCGAGGAGAGGAGTTATCTTAACTTTAAAACTACTGAATGTTTCCAGAATATGACAACTACTTACAGTATTAGATAAAACAACGTTCCTTTCTTTTTTAAACACCTGCAATAGTCTTTCAAAAAATTCAGTTTGGTTAAAAAAGTAAACAAAAATTACTATCCTGCATTTGGATTTTTTGTACCTTAAATCCATGGTCTTTTTAATATAAAAAGTAATTGCTTCATAGTTTTAGTGTTCAATGAACTCTAGTAGTCCTAGTTGAACCATATCTCAATATAGTAAATCTAATTAGAATGCTGGTTCCTGTTTCGTGACATCTTAAAACAGGATTTATCACAAAGAATAAAAAGCCTTGAGTTTATACGTCACGTTACTATAACATATAAGAGGATATCAAATGTGTGTTTGTCAACAACTCGAAAAGGCAAGGAGCAACTTTTTGGGGGAAGTAAATTGTGCATTTTTTTAAAACAAGTTGCTGCATTTACATCCATCTAAGTGCTGGACAAAAGCCACATAACAGATTTACTCCTGAAACTACAAAGATTGTCTTTCACTGACTTTGCCTGGTTTTCCTTCATTTCTTTCTGTGAGGGAAAGATGAGTTTGTACAAGTTGGTGGGTTGCTAGGCAACCCCAAACTGAACTCTCACTAAAAGGCCGCGTGCAGAGGATCACAAGCAGAACCACCCCATGAGTTCTGTAAGAAATAGGCAGCCTAGCCTACTTCGTATGGAAGAACAGATGTCCTTAAAACTTATTTTGGACACAGAAATTAAAATTTGGTTTAAAATAAGCGTTTCAAAAATCTGAAACAGAGGTAGAAAGTGTTCTTTATTTTTCCTGACATGTTTTCCCGTGAGAAAACACTTTCCATTTTATCTCATGGACTGCTCCCAGTCCCTAATGTTAAAAGCAGTTCTCTTTATAGAACTACTGATGCAACTATGTTGGTTAAACAAAAAAAAGAAAGAAAAGGAAAAACACCATGCCAGTGATGGCTACTGTGTTGGAAGCGGGAGTCAGCTGGAACCCGTGGCTGCGGCGGGAGCCCGCACTGGCTCTGAACTGGGAACGAGCATGTGTCGGGTGAAGTGACGAGTTCACCGGTAGGGAGGCACCCTGGCTTCGCACAACACGTCGTATAGCACATGTGTGAACTCGAGTGCACCGGAGCTCCCCGTTTTAAATATCAGATAAAACTGTCAGAAAGCGTTATTTCTGAAGAAAAAAAATGTAAACATTTCCCACCATCACTGCTGACTCCCCTGTGTGAGGTTCCTTCTTCTTTAGAAAACTCAGTTCGTTTTTTTTGACCATGTAAGGGCCAAAATGAAGTTTTCCGGTAAATGGCGTATAATGGATGTAGTGGTTTAGGCCACCGTAGACACCTGGATACAAGATACATAGTGGTGAGGCTTCTGATGGAAAAGGTACAGTGATGTGCTGTTCCTATGGATTCCACGAGCCTTCGGTCTCCAAAAGGGACATCTGTGTGGTCTCCTCTGAAATCATCGTGGTATTTTCCCTTGGCACTCACTGCTTATAGGGGTATATTTTTCTTTTCACAGTTCAGCTCCCTTTTCATTTTATATAACTCTTGCACCTGTTAGTGGGAGTTTTGTAGGGACATGGGAAGGAGACCAACAAACCTCCCCCCCACCCTGAAAAAATCGGTGTTTCCAGAGCTAGCTACTGTTACGCACCCATTCAAATAAAACCCAACAGAGTCAAAGCCCTCTCCCTTCGTGGCATTATGGTACAATAAGGTGATGTGAACTAAAACAGCCGGAAAAAATTGGAAAAGTTAATAGAGTCAAAATTCTGTTTCTTTTTAAATTTAAAAAGCAAACAAACAAAAAAGACACCCAAAAACCTACCCTCCTTCTCCTTCAGCATCTGCTGTGTATATTCTGCCCTCGCATCTGTCATGATTTCTTAGGGAAACGTGTATACTGTAAAATAAGCAGATTATAACGTGGTTCCAAAAAGAATGTCCGCTTCTATCCTTAAAGCATGAACTTAACTTATTCATCCTCTGTATTACAAATTAAAGTGCAGCTTATGTTCAAAAAGTACAATTCATACAAAGCAAGGTTTAAAAGTTCTGTACTTAGTGTAACCTTTCCAAGGTTTGTCTTGATTAGTATAAATTCAGACGGCTTACCCATTGACTATAAGTAACTTTTTTGTTTTCAAGTCTTTAGATGACAGGTCATGCTGGAGGAGATGTGCTCTTGCTTGCATAAAGACAGCTGTGCTATGGCGTTTTTTGTCTCAAAAGTTAACGTGATTCAAGAGAGTGGTTTTGCTAAAGAAACCGAAGCACACTCGTCATTACATTAAAAGGTACAAAAACAATTCTGAGAGACAGCAAGCGGGAAGGGCCCGGAATCACTGTGATGCCACAGGTCGACTCACCCAGTCAGACATATGTACACCAGTGTTGAATCTTTAAAATTTTGCCCCAGTCT